GCTTCTCCCCTGCTGGTTGCAGCAGCTGCAGAGACCCCACAATGATGTAGATTGTGTTGCGTGTTCAGTGCATCACTTTCAAGATTATTATCTGATCAAATACAAAATTTATTTAAAAAGCTGTATGTTTCAATAGACTTTTTTTTCTTTTGGTTTTTTCGAGACAGGGTTTCTCTATGTAGCTTTGGAGCCTATCCTGGCACTCGCTCGAGAGACCAGGCTAGCCTCCAACTCACAGAGATCCGCCTGCCTCTGCCTCCCAAGTGCTGGGATTAAAGGCGTGTGCCACCAACGCCCGGCCTTCAGTAGACTTTTTAAAATCCTAAAAAGTAATTTTAAAGCTTCAGATATATAAGAAAAAATTAATTTCCCTAAAGATTATAACATTTTTCTTAAAACAAAATACAAATTCTGTGGGGGAAAAAAAGCAATGTTAAAATCTTACTATTTAATATTTTTCACTAAAAATGTAACTTTTCAAGTTCTAAAAATATACTACACCTGTTTTATAGTAAGGAAGCACAGGTCAGGACATATTCTTCTAATAAAAATATAATTTCAACAATAATTTTAAACTCCTGTGATGCAACTATATTTCATAAGACCCAAGGCAAGAAATCACACTGTAACTTACAGCTTTTCTCAGCATGTCTCCAACAATCACACCTGTAAACGTATCCCATTCCTAGTGAATGAAACATGAGGGACACAAAAAATATCAGAACACAACCAGCTAACATCATCTTCAATTTCTTATAAGGTATTTTACAATGCAGCTTCCCCAGAACAGAGGGAGAGTCCCTCCCACTTCTTCAAGCAGGCCAGTGTTAGGGAGTCATGTACCACTATAAAACATGCAAGACACCTATCAGAGCTAACTGTATTAAGACACAAGAGTATGTATACCATGTATGCCACACTCATCATCTAGACAGTTAACTGTGGTTCTTTCATGCTCTACTACTCACTAACACACATGCAGTGAAGTCCACCAAGGTTAAAAGTTGTTTGTGCTGTGTAAATTAAGAAAAGTAGTCCAGGAAAGAACAATAGTGCATATAAGACCTGAAAACATACTAACTATAATTTTAAAAATTATATGAAAGGTAGCTTAAGTTAGTAAAAGTTATTAGGATCAAATTAATATTCAGGAAAAAGTGAGCAAATAAGCAACAACATGTGGAATTAGAAAAAAATGAAAGAAGGCAGGAAGAACTAAATGGTCTGTGTTCCTTAACCACCCGACATGAAAACACAAAAGATAATTCAAGTCTGACCAAGCAGAGTTGGAGGGCAGTAGGTTGAATTTGGACTCTCTTAGCACCCTTGCTACTCAATTCTCCCTCTATGATATTCATACAATAATGAAAAAGAAAAACAAACAATTCTTTTTAAATTTAATTTTAGCTCAAGTGAGTATCATGAGTGGTTATATGACAGACCAGAAAAAAAGATGCTGAACAAATAAGACAGTATGACCCCATAGGCTCATGTGATAACTGTGCGGCTCCATCCCACCCCATTTTATCTGCTGACTCTTGACAGGTGTGCCCACATTACCACTTTCCCCCTTCTTGGGTTGCACTGCTTAGAACAGGAAAGCCAAGAGGTTGGCTCTTCTGGTATCCCCAGTAAGTGGGCCTGGCTCATGGAAAACAAAGTACTCTTGGAAATTACTGAGACTCCTTCCCTTCTGTCACCTGCAATCCTGAGTATACATCAGGGAAAAACAACTTCATAACAGCCCCTCACACAAGTCACTTAGAGAACATTAGTTTATATGTATACAACTTACAGCCTAAGTCATCTCTAAGAAAATCCTGTCTGCTATCAGATTTCTCTGTAATTCCAAGCATTCCCCCCTTAAATACTACTTACATTTTCTTGAAAAAGTTCAGGATGCATACCCCGAACAAAATGCAAAGCAAACATCAACTGGTCAGCCTGCAAAAAAGTACAGGGTTACACTTTGCTCTTTCTTAAAATTTGTCTTTAAAGTTTGGGTGCTATGGTTCTGTATTGTCTTTTCTCACCAGTAATAACCAGTGACTTCAGGTTCTACCCACATAGAACAAACCAAAATACTCAAATACTCTCTTGATTAAGAGAATAAATGTAAACACAATATTAACAAGACGATAAATATTACTTTGATGCCTCTATCAAATATTATCCCTTCTGACAGACACACACACACACACACACACACACACACACACACACACACCTCACAGCATTGTTAGATTTATTTAGTCACTGCTTCCTTTGCACTACGAAAGGACACTGCAGTCTCCTCACGCTACAAAAAAAGAAGGAAGCCTTCAGTCATTCTGTGAGCCTTCAATTACCCACTGGGACCTGTACACTAAGGCTAATAATTCAAATAAGAACACAGATGAAGGAATCAAACTAAGGATTTTTCAAAGTCTCTGGATTTTTTGTTTGTTTGTTTGTTTGTTTTAAATCTTGTCATCATCCACAATTGAGCAAATATTTTAGATTCCTAAAATCTCTCATTCACTTTGCTGATCAGGTCAGAACGATTTCAGTTCAGTGTTAATTTATCACAATATGCTTGGGTTCTTCTTCTTCTTCTTCTTCTTCTTCTTCTTCTTCTTCTTCTTTCTTCTTCTTCTTCCTCTTCTCCTCCTCTTCCTCCTCCTTCTTCTCTTTCCTCCCTTGCTCCCTCCTCCCTTTCTTTTTTGGTTCTTTGAGACAGGGGTCTCTGTGTAACAGTCCTGGCTATCCTAGAACTCTCTTTGTAGACCAGGCTGGCCTCAAATTCAAAGAGATCCACCTGCCTTTACCTCCCAAGTGCTGGGATTAAAGGTGTTGGCCACCATTGCCTGGACTAGAATCAATTACAATATATAAAAACTCCATGGATTCCCTACTGGATGAAGGAAGGAAGATAAACAAAAGATGAGCAGGACACTGGATGTCTGCCAAGTCCCATTCAATTCCATACAACACTCCAGGAAATAACTAGAGGAACCCATTGGATTAGAATTAGCATGGTGTGACTCTTTATAGAATGTTATAGAACAAGTTCAAGTCTGTACTGAGTGTTTCACTGGTTGTCTGCTGGCAAGAAATCTCAAGCATCAGGTAGGAGCTTTTGAATTGCAACTTCAACACACTCTACATCTGAGTAAAGGGAAGTTAATTCTAAATCTCAGCCTCCTGATCCATGTAACAGTCCTACTGCAGGCATTAAAAAACATAAGGCTCTCACCTACCACATCTACCAGGTAATAGCACTCTGATACAATGATACAATGGCAGACTCATGGAAAACTACATAATATTGAAAGGGAAATGTACATTAAAACTATCCTTCCAATCCTATAATTCTTAAGAGACAGTAGAAACTGGACATTATTAAATCTAAGTCTCTACTACAGAAGTCAGGCTCCTGGCACCCAAGGAAGAAAGGAGTTGAGACAGCACAGAAACCAAGCCCTTGCTTTGGGTCTGCAGCTAACTCATGCATTTTAATGGGTGACTCTGTGCACAGTTACGATACTGTAAGGGAAGGAGGGTGGAAGGGATGCAACATGGAAAGTTCCAGAATCTAAGTAGAAGAAAATTGTCTAAATAGTGCTCCTCCCACTGCTCCCCTCATTGCTCCTCCCAAAGCTCCCCTCAGTTCCTCCAAGTGCTGTTTGAAAAGGTCCCCCCAGTGCTTCTCTGTAATGCTCCCTCTTGCTCCTCCTAATTCCCTCCCAGAGTTCCCCAGTGTTTTCCCAGACCTCCCTCTAATGTTCCCCAGTGCTCCTCCAAGAATTACCCTGTGCTCTTCCCAGAGATCCTCCCACAGCTCCCTCAAATTTCCTCCCACAGCTTTCTTCCATGCTCCCCCCAGAACTTCCCCTGAAGCCTCCATGCTCCCTA